TTTGAGCTTATTGATGAGGTATATATGATGTGTAACGGAAAGAGGACGATGAAAATCCCTCCGCAGCTTTTTTGTTGGACAGTACTGTCATTCGTTTGTTGCTTCTCCCTCTCGTGTATTTGAACCTTTGTTCAGATCTCGTTTAACCACGCCTTTTGTTCTTTAGTCTTCCTCCTATGAGCCTTTATCATGTGATTTTGATTAAAAATTTATCTTTTATAACCCAATTTTCTATTGCATGTTGCCGGACTGTTGACGGTAGGGTCGTGTTTGACTAATCTCAAGGTCACGGCATGGTTTATTGCCAGGGCGTTAACATTTGACCGTCTGCTTGGGATGATTGCTGGAATCCCTGCAGGTAGATATTTGATCCCATTTTGTTGGGAACATTTTTATTGATTCTCAGGTATCGAACCCTTTGGTATTAACTGTTTCTTTTATTGTTTGGCGCGCTACTTTGCGATAGAGAAACTGTTGACCGTATAGTACAGGCTGTACCGTTTGGGGTATTTTGTATTTTTGATATGATTTGTTCTATTTCCTAAATTAGAACCTTTCAAATTGAGTACAGAGTTTGTGTTTTGATATAATTTAATACGAGTATCTCAAAAACTCTTGGTATGATATACAGAATAAATTTCGGTTCGTCAGTCCTGCGTTCAAACTGAATACTGGCAGTTCGGTCGTTACATGATGGGCCTCATCAAAAGCTTTTGAGAAATTACATTACAAAACAGTAGCCTTTCTCTTGTGATAAAGCATAGTTGTCCATCTGTCCACAGCGGTCAGCAGGTCATTTGTACAAGAGAAACCCTTCCTGAAGCCATGCTGCTGTGTTGTAAAGACGTTTATAGATGGCAAATAGTCATGCAGATCGTTAAACATCAGAGACTCCATAATTTCTGAGGTTATTGAGAGAAGTGCTATCGGCATGTAGCCTGAAGGTCCGCTTCGTTGACCTCCTTTGAAAATCATTATAATGTGAGCCAACTTCCATTTTTCTGGTGATTTGCCTCGGCTTGGTAATTGTGTTGCCTGGATTGAAACGGCTTCCCACAATATAGCGGAATAGGCCATACCCTGACAGGTGAAATGTGCTTGTATCGGAAACCGCAGAACCTAAACAAGAACAGTTCTCATTAACCGAGTATGGTCCATTCTACTGAGGAAAGCGGATTCAATTTCGCAACATCACTCAGCGTGATGTTCTCACATTCGCTAAGCCAAGGAACAATATCCAAAATCTTTGTTACGAGCTTGTATAAACCTACTGATTTCTTCGCACTTTCTTCCTGTTGTTTTGCAACGGTTTCGGTACAGTACTTGGTCGAGTCGTGTGTGTGGTAGTCTGGCCCTAATTCTATCTGCTTTAGTAATTATTTTTGGATTTGCATGTCATGTAGTTGAATGAGTCCAATTATCCAAGGGCAGTGGGATTTCTAAGTACCAGCATCTATCACATTACCAGAGAGGAAGTTGATTGGTTACAGTTTGGAGATGATAAAGAGATAATTCAAATGCTAAGAAATGATTGTCTCAGGAACAAGTAGATAATTGTATTAATTGGTAATATGTAATAGACGGAATCGAAAGAATGAGAGGGGAAACGTAGATGATAATAAGAGAGATTGGAAGTGTTTACTGATTGCGGCAATGATAACTGTGATAATTAATCAGACATGAATCAAACACAGCTTACCCAAAAGGAGGATGGTAATCCATGGGTATGCCTGTGTCTGTGAAATCTCCTCTTAAAGCTATTCATTGAGGGCTCCTTGGGCACTTCGGCTAGCATAGCACCTCAAATGGGAGCAACGCGCAGTGAGTATGAGAGCGTACCTGGGTGTTGGCTTTTTGATTTGCAGTCTTTCGAGGGTGGCCTCAAAGGAGAGCGATGACAAAGTTCTGGCAATATGCTCGTGAGATTTGTATATTTGATGTGCTGTATGCCATCACCAGATCATCCCTCATTCTACTATAGCTCGGTGAGGATAATCTCAAATGCTGAAGTCTATCCACTTAAGATTTAGGATTAAGCCCTATCACTCACTTAGTTACTCGTTTCGGTGTGTGGTTAGTGAAATTTACATCCGTTTTGAAAAGAAAAGGCACAACAACGTTGTGGACTTCAAGATGAGGCCATGTGTGAGTTTTGAACAGCGTTAGGAACAACTCTGAACTGGTTGCTCCAAGCTGTCTACACATGAAGTGAAGAGTTTCGTTTGCCTTGGCTAGATCTTCCGTGTTATCTTGAACTGGTATATAGCCTGATTGTGATTACAAGCCCGAGATCAATCTCTGGGGAGATAATCGAGGGTGAATTCTTATGGGGAGTTTAAGTACTTTGTGTCAAACGAGGCAGAATGTTCAGGACATGAAATTTCATTCCTCGATTGTTATAAGATTCTTTTCGAGATCGAACGAATCCTTTTCACATTTTATGAACCTTCAGATTGCCTCATTATTTGCATGCTGTTGTGCCACCTGCCCAATTATATCTAAAAGGTCAGGAACATAAGTGGACATAAGATTATTTCCTGTGAAGCTTCTTATGATAAGAGCCTGCAGCACTCTATTTACCTTGGCACAAAACATCCTGTTGTCTAGGTAGTTACGGAGCCAGAATAAAAATGGACTAGTTTATCCCATCTCTCCAAACTTTGCTATGAGAAGTACATGAAGTATTGTGTCAAAGGCTTATGCGAAGCCAAGGAACGTTACATGAACCGGCATTTTATGGTCACAGCAGATCGTTCAAATATTGCATGCTGAATTACGGATTATGGTTGAAAAAACCTTGTTATAATTCTTCGTCTGTTGAGCCCTTATCTTCTTGCATGAACCAGACACTTGATATAGTTTTTTCTGTAATGGGCTTCCTTTACCTTATCTGAATGTTATTGTAGCGAAATCGCCCTAGGTGGCATTCATAATACTTCGCCTCATGGTTTCTCATTGTTTATCGACACGTGTAGGGAAGTTCCTCACGTAGCCATATTATTCACTGCTATGAAATGGAATGCGACGTGCCTGATAATACAACAGTGTGTTCGATCGAATATGTAGTTGAATCTGCTGCTCGGGGGTGCTTGAACATGAGTAATTTAGAAAATGATTTGATTATACGCGGCTAGACGTCCCTGCCGTTATTGCCTCCCACAATTGTCTTAACGTGTGTTAGACCCTATCCTCAAGCATTCTAGTGATTTGATTACCGCTCTAAGTTGTTTGTCGAACAGCCTTTTTGAAAGTCATCCTCAGTACTGTGATGATTCAGTAATTGTTGAATGAAGATCGTGAACATGAGTAATCATTCATACTTTAGACATCCCAACGTTCAAATAAATCAGACAAGCTGTGCTCTGTTCTATTTTGCCTGTAAGGAAGCTGCATATTCCTTCTATTAGCATTTACTGACTTCATCCTAAAACAAGACAACCCAACTCTAGTAGATTTTTAAGCCCTGTATGAGTAGGTGTTGTGTCCCTAAAGTTCCCTAACCACGAGTCTATTCTCTCTTCTGAGCTACCTATGTTATGCTGACAGAATCATACTCTATGTTCCCATATCAAAGTCATTGATTCCTTACTTAAGCAACACAATTTAATGTATGTGATGTCAAATTATGACATACTGCAATACTCCTCCCACTACTGTTCATCAAAGTATCTTTGACTCCCAATAGCCAGTGACTTTGTACTCGAATACTGAAAAGAGTAAGGCTGATCAACCTGAAGTCTGTATTTTTCGTCTCATCCCTCGATCTAACAACTCTTTTATCATCTGAGTTGTTCTTATTGCCAAGTACTCGTTTGTCTTTTCCCATCTCTTAGTTCTAATAATCTGGGGAATAGAACCTTCTATGTGTGAGCATTGGAGATATTTGGCGTTGATAGTGATGGTGATCCCCAGTTTTTCCAGGTTTAACCGATGATTGCTACAGCAGGTAGTGTCAGAAGTAAAGGATGTGCCAGATGAGCATCTCGTAATGATAAAACACTCAAGGACCTTTGATCCACCATGATTCACATTGTGTGGGTGGCAATAAGCTCATTAACTGGAACGTTAGTCACTGAAATATCAACCAAGCATCAAATCGAGACTTTCTAACGGAATGCAGCCTAGGAATCATGTTGACAGAAAACAATGACGCTAGAAATGCACAACTAAGGACTGCGTCACACCTCACTTCTTCCAACAATGGATAACTTTACTGACTTATGAGATGTTCTGAACAATTCGAACGATTTTTGCCATCTTGAGGTGGAGTAGTCATTATATGTGATGTACTGAACAGTTCAGGTCACCCCACTAAAGCAATTCTACATGGAGCTCAGAATTTTGCTTTGTTATGGTACACTGACAACCAATAGATCTCACAACGGATATCGAGCATATATTCCATGAATCTGTTGCTGCATTTCAAGGTCGAAATCCAACCCGATACTTATAGCTTCTAGAGGGAGACTTAGTTTTTCTGGACCAGGAGTATATAAGTGAAGGTTCGACTGGTTGGAATAGTTTCTAGCTTCCAGGTGTGATACACTAAAGATTGGAGAACAAGTCTTCGTCGCTGAATTGCTGGAGTGCTAATGATCTAAAAGAAACCAGATCGATCTATTCGTTATTGGAAGAGATTCTTAGTTTGATTTAATTTGACCAAACCAAATGAATTAATGTCCATGTCAAACTATTATATATGTAGCTTGGGAACAAGGAAGTGATTATCACTTGTGACTTGGAAAGTATGCCGCAAGTTAGACTGGATATATTTTGAGCTAGAATGAAAATTAGGAAGCAAAATATCGTAACATCTATCATAAAACGAATATGTTATACAGCATATTCACGATCCACTTTATTGCTTAAACAGAACCACATAGTTTAAAAAATTTAAAGTTTGAGTTAAAAATTGTTTACCACTTTGTCAGCTCAGTAAACTTTTATTGGGAATTGAAAGTCGTATTATGCAAACTGCTTTGTAAGGTCATTAGTTTACCGTTTTGTCTGAATTGTCCGCGCTCTATTTCACGTAGATCATGAGCTATCACTCGTGATGGGTCTTGAGGAAAGCAAAATTGGTCAAACAAACAAAGCTAACTGTAACACACCAAATTTGTGTTTCTTTGCGCCTGTTTCACCTGGAAGAATAATCCATCAATGCACTCTGGAGTTATGGAAAAAATCTCACCGGGGTAACGTGATACATATTTTACTCATAAGGCATGTTTAGAACTTTTCAACTTCTCAGACAAGGTGATGGTGTGTACCTATCAACTGCCTCATGATTGCACATCGGCATTTTGTCTCACTAGGCAAAATATTGTGAATTTTCGAAAATCGTGTTCTGTTTTCTCACTGAGAAAGCGAAGAGAATATACAAAAATGGCTGAACATTTCGAGTATAATCACATACCTGCTCATTTATCTTCCATACAGGTACTTGAATTTTAGTTAAGAACTGCTTTTAGAATTTACACTTCAAATCGGTGTTAGACATTCACAGTGGATTGGCAGTTGTTCATTTGGCACGAGATATGATAACTCAGTTTGCATTAGTTGACTTAAGGATTAATAAATTCCTTGGTTCTTTTGGTCGGCAAACGGTTCTCTTTAGTCCTGAATCAACCATAGGAAAAATATCACCCGATGGAACTTATTGTCTAATTAGACTCCCTTGGTCGAGAAATAGGAGAGTTTATATACTCAAGGTATGTAATCAGTTACATTTCTTAGCGTTTAGTACTTTGATTGTAGAAGATTTGTGCTGCAGTTATTTTCACGTTATATTCTACGGACAGTTCTAATGGCTTTTCATTTTTGTATGTCAGTATTTTCTTTACATATTTTGACAAATATATGTGTATATTCTTGATGAGGGGTGAGGATTTATTTAAATCAATATTTTCAAGTGGAGTAACTGTCACCTAAAACTCAGGCTCCAGAGAAATGATATCGTATTATGTTGAATTTAAAAGTAATTGAAGCTTGACGGTTGATTGTCGTTATGTCACTCATACATATAGACATATAGTCAAGGTTTAAACAGCTTACTAATAATACCATCTGTTAACTGCATAAACTCAAAACTTGCAAACACTGACGATCGTATAAGATGCTTGGTGAATATTTAAGTGCCAATCAAAAAATAAACAGATTCTTCTGATTAACCTAAGTTTGTCTTCTATCTGGCAATATTACCATAAACATAGATACTTTCTAGTGCTTTGATTACTAGTTTTGCTATGATGACTACTACATGCGTATGTTTAAACTAAAGTTGTTTTCGGGACACTACTTAGGTTAAGTACGTCAAAGTTTAAATTTAAAATTTCACAGTTATCCATATTACCCTCCGGTTGTTTCATTACAATATTCACTTCTGTATATCATTTAATACTTAAAACATTCATCCTACTATTGCCACATGAATCTGTTATTTATTAGGGAATGTAGAATAGTTGCATAGCTGACGAATGACATGCATAGTGATGTAAATAGTTTCTTAGTAATCAAGAAACGATCAGTTACTGGTCAGTCAAACTCAAAAATAGTAAATTAAAAGTTAAATGGAACGTTAGGAACGGTAATGTTTTACAATTCTACCTATGTTAACACATCTTAAGCACTCTTGGAATGTTATTGTCTTACATGTCTAACATGGCTTTTACAGGTGTGGTCTATACATGTAACAATGATCGCTTATAGTTTCTGCGTGCTAATCTTTTTAATTTTTTGACTAAGTAACAAATCATGTGTACACGCTTAGGATTTGGAACAGATGGTACTATAAAAGATCAAGATTATTCATCCCTCCAAAATCATTTCGAGGTAGTAGAAAAACATTTATCCATGCTTAAAACAAACATCCAATGACGGTTTTTGAATGCCTTCTCAATGGAGACTTCTATAATGGAATTTTTATTTGGAAATTTCACCTTTGTAGGTGACTTAAGTGCTAGATGAATGGTTTACATATAGTGACACTCATCTATTCAGATGTGTAACTATTGTTTATCATTCTTCCTTGTGTTTATTTTCAAAAAACGTGGGAATCATTATTTTTCATGATTCGTCATTCACCGTTTACTTACCGAAGCATAATAGCTGGTAAGTCTCGTTTATTCCAACATATTTTTAAGTTTCATTTAATAATTGCCGTTCTGTCAAGTAGTTTCTGAAATAAATAGAGAATGTCCAACCCTTTAAAATAAGAAGATTATGATTAGGTGTGGGTTTAGTAGCTGATTTAATGACACTGGTATTTGAGTTCCGTTTAAATATTGGGAGGAACTTATATTAAGTGCAACATATATTCATGGTTTAGCTGTTTTATAGTAAAGTAACTCAGTTGTGCTCCATATTTTTCTTTTCAGAGTTTAGGCTGTTAAAGTTTTCGCACAAGTCAAGTCAGCCACTGTTCTTTTTTTATAGTAATTTAAGAATGAACTATTTATTAAGACTTATATAAAGTTTATCTCTGGTATCACCTTATGTAAATACGTTGGGTCTCATGAAGTTTAAGAAGAATTTCATGTTGGAAGAGCTGTTTGCTATCTGCAATTGTTTTATAAATATTGGCTTTATTTTATGTAGTTTGAGAATGCGCTAAAAAATTCAGCTGTTCACATAAAACTAAATCAAAATAAAGGGTTTTTTATATGGTTTATTAGTAAAATATTCATCTGGTATTATGCGTTTGTTAAAAGTTTGATTTTTAGCTTAAAGGTATTTTAAGACTTTTGAATTTCTAAGATGATTTTCATGGTTTTCACCCAATTATTTTCTTTTAAAACACATGAGACACTACAGTATAAAAAACTAGTTGGCTTTGTAAATATTTAGATGAGAAAAACTGAAGAGTTTCTTCGTATTGTAACACAGTTTGTGCTCTGTATTTAGATGATTATCATTATTTACTAACGATGGGACAAATCATAAGTAAGAATTTAATAGTTTTATATGAAAAAGATGAGATCAAATGATTCACTCAGACAGATGAATTATATCTACACAGAGAACAAAGATTAGTAAACACTGGTTTTAAGCATAGTCTTTATTAAGAATGGTAGACCGGTTTATGAAGTAAATATGAGATGGTTGAATGATACATTACGTTGAACGTCTGTTTGACTCAGCGTGCAAATGCTATCTAAAAACAGCCTTTTTTTCGTACAACTAGGTATTTGGTACTTGTTTGGAAGAAACTTTTCACTTTCAATGCTCTATTTCATCTGTTGATTTATCCTCCCTGTGTTGTCTCATGAAAATTTGGGTCTTTATACATTTTTAAATGTTAAATGTCATCCACTATCTCTCTGCATAATCTAACTTAATTAGCTGAAATTCGTTGTAATGTGAAAATAATAATACTATGATTATTTACTTTGTTTTTGATGTATTTTTTTCATTGTCGTTCCAGCTGTACAACTTACGAAATAGTGAACTTATTTCTGAACTTCCATTAGCTAATTCTTCTAATTACGATGAAGTACCATTAAACAGTTTCCGTCTGCCACTAGGCCCATATCAGGAAAATAATAGAGAGTCAAATATTCGGCCGTCGTACGATATTTTATCAACGTCCAACTCAGTAACTGCAAACTTTAGAGGGAATGTACAAAATGAGAATCAACTTCAACTAGGTCCAGCTCGTTCTTCTCAGGTGTTGTTTGCTTTTGATCCACGATTTGTAAATTCACGCATAGCAATAACTAACGTGGACTTTCCACATGGACCAAACTCTCACAAAGTGTCTTCCAACTGGGTCCCAGGAATACAGGCTACTATAAGTTTGGTAAAACTTCCAACGTGGGAGTGTTTAACATCAACTAACAAACTTTGTTCTTGGTCTCCTTCAAATCGTCACGGTTCACCTTTTATAAACAATGCTACGTGTAGAGAACCGACAAGACGAAGACGATCATCAGATGCTAACCATGTAGGTGGTTTACCCAGTCCGAACTCATTCAGTCATGTTTTTCCACATATTATGAGCATATTTTATTCAAGAGATGGCTATTTTTTATTTACAATCACCACAGAGTCTCGAACCTGTCGATGTTCTGCCATTGGTAATATTAACCATTCTGTGAATTCTTTATTACCAGATGTATCTGGTTACTCAGATGATATTTGCAACCCCTTAAGTTCAGGCCGACCAACAAACAACGGAACTGAAAGTGGTCGAACTCAGCAAAAGAACTTGGTTTCAACACAGTGTATTGAATCAAATACACGTTACAATCCAAAAAATAATAGTACATCCCCAATGTTGGCTCCCACACTGCCTGGTTGCACCACTTTGTGGCTTACTATTTTCAATTCTGATACATTAGAAAGGTTAAGAATTTTGAGATTTGATCGATCAGTATGCCCAATTCACACATGTCCTACCAATTACCTACCCGTAATGAGCCGTTGTGGATCAAGGATAGCTTTAATTACACGACAAGCAGTGGGATATTATAATAGTACTAGTAATCAGAACGCCAGTAACAATTCACGTGAATACCTGTTTTCCAGCTGTAAGACGCTTCCTGTATCTTTAAGGCACTCCGTTCCATCTATAAGTTTAGGAGGCTGTTCTAATTCACAATGCGTGATTAATAAAAGTGCTAGTCAAGAAACCAGCAAAGAAAACTCTACGAAACGCGTAAGTCAACTATTATTGTTTCGTTACTATTGTTGTTATTCTCACATTTTCACTAAGAAGTAGATACATTTATCATCTGAGTCTTAAAACTGCAGTATCCTATGCGAAGTGTAACTACTTTGTAGTGACATAAAATCTATGTGTAAAATGATTTCTTCGTATTTCTAAAGTATAATTTTTAAAAACTGTCTGCAATTATCTGTCTACTTTATTAGTCCATACTTTAAGCCCAAAAATTTTCTATAGTGGTTGATTTTTATTAATTTGCTTGAATATTAGTTTATTTTTAATCTAGTATTGCAATGAATTGTAAAATATCTAGACTCATCTGTTAACCGTTTTAAATTTCTTGGATGACCCATAACGGACTTTCTACCTGCGTTATTTGTTGTATAATTAAACTAGTTTTCATGTAAAAACATACTGTGGTAAGCATCTTCCACACCGGTACATCTTGTTCTTCTGTGCACCCAGGTAGAAGTGATCAGCCCTAACACTAGTTCATCCACATAGAGAGTTCCTACTTAGGCCTCAGGCAATACTCATGATTAGTGACTGTAGATGATGAATGACATAGCTCATAAGTAATGACAGGGAGAAAGTAGCACGCGTGCCCTATCTTCTTGGGTTTTTATTTTTTCATCTCATTTATTTTTTTCGGATTGTATGTATGATTAAATTTAATTCATACCATTCTCATTTATCGTTATTCTGTGTTCCATTGCGCAACTACATAATTACTTAGTTTTAGCCTGACAGTCTTTTACTATTAGCATGATCGGAGTTCTAGAATAGTTGTAACACTTCACTCGTTCTTTTCAACTCTATTAGAATATTTACTGTACCATACTGATATGTTATTACATCAAATTCCAACCAACTTAACTTCTATACATATGATAGACCTTATTTAAAATTTTAATTTCAGGTTGTAAATTAAATAGGAAGCGAAATGAAGTAAAATGAGTTCGTGTTATTCCACTGCTCAAATTTGTGCTTTTATTCTTCTTAAATTGATTAAAAAGACTGTATGAAATATTCTTGGTGGTTTCTTGTAGTTAACTTGATAAACATATCCACAATAAATTAGATTTTATTTACGTGATTTCCAAGAATAAAATTAAACTACATTTGTTTATTGAGCATTATTGTTATATTTGCTAGTTGTAGTATTGCAGAATAATTCAGTGTGAAAGAATAAAGATTGTTTCCAATAATTGGTATTGATTTAATTAGAGAATGAATTAATTTTATTCTGGATTTAAACTTATAGTTGAGAGGTAGATAACTGACTGACTTCTACTTTAACTGTTCTCGGTTATTCCGTCTAGGGAAATATTACGTTGTTGGGCTATTTTACACCCCCAGGGAACAAGTTAGTAACTATTTATTTTGTTACTTTTTAAGTTTCAATATTCCTTTTCTCTCCATCCTTTTTTGTCTACCATGACCAAATTGAACTGTTTTCTTCTGTCCTTGAGTCTTTCAGTGTGTTAAATCTTTACCCTTTCTCCGATGTATTTGTGAGCTCATTTATACACATGTATTATTTGCTTAAACCAATCTTCTTTGATCTCTATCGATAAATCTTGCTTGAAGTATTTTCTTTTGCAGTAATTGGGGCTAGAACGGAAAGCAGTTGTGGTATCAAGGTTTTAATATGCATATAAAAGTTATTGTCGTATTTTCAAGACATTATATTAAAAATTTTTTTTACATAACTACTTTATTACTCTCATAGAAACCCGTCTTTTTGTGTTATTTTAGACTGAATTCAAGAAGCAACAACCGTTTATATCTCCAACCTGCTTGCTTATTCAACCAAGAAACCTTAATTTGAGTCATCATCTATCTACATCATTACCATCTCCATTGTCAAAAGTTCACTTGTCTTCCGGAAGTTCACCATTTCGACAAATGACTGGTTGTTCAAGTTTAGAGTTAAGTGTTTCTTCTTATCGTCCAATGGCTGTTTCCTTTGAATCTTCTTTTATTGGAACTCAGTGTAATTCTTCAAGTAGTTGTACTGCCACAGTATCCACACGTACCAGTAATAGTAGTGGTGTTGTTGTTACTTCTGCTGGTACTTCAGTGGTAAATTCAACGGTACAAATTGATGTGCTTCTTGTTTATCAACTACCTCCGCCACCAAAACTACAAGCATTAGTGAGACAACGAATTCGTCAAGTAAGGAAATACTTCAGATCTTTTTTGTTATGTTTAGTTCACTATATCCGTTTGAGTTCGAACACAAATTACCCTGCATATTATAACCATATTTAGTACCCTGTCGAGTGAATATTTATCATATGAAGTGGATATATAGGAAAATGCTTATTTAGCTTTTAATAGTTTATAAGTGAATAAACGAACTGACTATAATTCCTAATGCGAAATGCTGGTGTATGACTGATCTACCTTAACGTCTAGACTAATATTTGGGATTAAAATAATTGGAAGTCTTAATCATTCTACTTATCTTGTAAGGACCTCATTAACTTTAGTGAGCTGAGGTCTCATGAAATGTCGGCACGGATTTGGAAAGGTCATCAATATGGGTCACTGTAATGTAGGCGAGATATCCATCCACCAACGAAGGGGTCAGTATACTGCACAGTTGTCTGCTTTGTTTTAATTTATGTCAGAAACATGATCTTTAAATATAAAGGGCATTCATGAGCTATTATTATTTGATCATTATTGTCTTTGAGTCATTACGCGCGTATATTAGAGTCCAGTGAGGAATGTTGCAGTTAGATTCAGGGTATTTGGCAAAGATACCAAATCAGTTGGTAAGAATGCTAATCTTGATCGGCTGAAGTGATCGAGATATGTATGCCAAGTCAGTGCCTACCTTGACTCGGAATATTGGAGTAAGAGTAGGAAAGTGAAAGCTAAGGTCAACCAAACCAACACGTTTAGTTATATTGTGAATGCTATGTTGGTAGGTACAGAATTGCTCCTTGAGGTCCTCGCAATAAATGTGACTAGTGGTTGGAGACGTTGGGGTTGAGGTACCGAGAATCAAAGTAACATTTGTAAGTAAATTCTCCAATTACATCCCATTGGGGATATCCAACTTCAAAATCAATGCGTAACAATTATGTATGAGGTATTGATAAATGATAATTAAAGTTCCATGATAAATTGAGTGTTTTTTTTTTGTTGATTTATTAAATATAAATTTATGAAGGGAATGGATTAATGCAAACCTGTCTGTCATGATATCTTTTATAGTAGTAGTTGTAAATGAGAATCATTGCTATCTCTTTATTAAACATGGACTCGTATATTGAATTTAAATTACACTTTTTGCAGCGGTCAACAATACTACTTAAATGCTGAAACTGAATTAGTTGAGCAGAGGTTCAAAATTACAATGTTTAATAGAGTTAAAAAGCACTAGGAATTTGCTTAGACAACAGGATCCATGGCGTCAATACATCTTTTTTCATTTGTTAACAGTTATGATTTACTGACATTAATTTTACATGTCATTTTTCATTTCAATTTTTTGGTCTAATATGTGATACTATTCGTAGAGCTTAGTGTTTTTTGAGGCATCAGTTTTCCAACTCGTTGAAAGCAAGTTTTAGCCTCGCTTCACATGCTTCAATGTGAGCAGTCGGATAGTTACACTAACTTCGTATGCACAAACATTTACTTGTTATGTAAACGGTGACGAAAAATGTTAACTAATTCCCAATGAATTTTCATCTGATGAATCGGTTCATGAATATTACTTTCCTGTCAGCTTATTGAACTTTTGTGCAGCCGAGAGTTTCATTGCTTTCAGTTTCAATCATGATATATTGGTGTGCATGTGAATGTAGTATTTCTTTTATTTTTTAGCTCTGCAAAGATGAATACCTTGAACAGTTAGATCTTCCACGTAGAATTATTAGCTATTTACAATTTGAACCATCGTACAATTGTGCTGGCTCATGTATTTCTCGATCGAACAGTTCTACCAGAACAGTACGAAGTGATAGTTTTGACCTGTGATACAGATTTATGCGCATATATTTATATTTATGTATCTAATTTATTTCTTACTATTTTGTTCAGTATTTTTATTTATAAGTAACATTTAATTCCTAATTGTCATCTTTAATTTACTGACATTTGACAGCCTTTGATCTTTATTGTTAAAACTCTCATTCTATGTATATTGTGAATTATGTGTTGATATTTACAGATTGATAATTTATATCCTGCAATTTTAATAGGTGAAATTTATTAAATTCCAGTATTGATTTTCGTAATTTGACTTATCCAATTTCTTGATATTCATATTTATCCTTAGCATTTATCAATGAAAAAGGTACACGGTTTTTGTAGGATTGATTTTTCCATCAATAAATGGATGGTGCTTTGAACTTATTAAGAATACAACAAGAGAGTAAAAATTGTATTATTATTATTATTATTTATATGACTTGAAAGAAAGGATCTTTAGTGTTTTATACTAAGCTCCACGAAACAATAAACTAAAGTTTTTCATAAAGAATTTGTAATTTAACACTTTGACATAATATAATTATTGGTTCTTCATATATATTCATCTGTATGTATGCAACACAATGATACTGTGCTACATCTTGTCATATAATTCTTTAGTATGATTTCGTCACATTTTGTGCTTTCCTTGTTGATCTAAACAAAAGCTTATGTTATGCAATAGCTTTGAAGAACTTCAGCAAAACAATCTGATGTATATCTATCTATTTACATATATATCTATCTCTCTCTCCATATATATGTCAGGTTTACTTATTTATTTATCTCTTTTAACTGGCTAAATCTTATTATTCGTTTTTTCTTTCTTATCATTTCATACTAGGCATTGTTCTCTTATTTATACTAAACATAATCAATTTCTCATAATGGTAACAATTAATTTATTACTTTTCTTTTTATGGTTAAATATTTGCTGCAATTATTGTATAAACATTGGTGTAACTGGTGATGTTCATCTTTCTTGATTCCCTCTCTGTCTCAATTTTTCTTGGCTCTTTCATTTGATGATGATTCCTTTGTTTTTTCACACACATACAAAAAAAAGCAAAACTAAATCTACATTTCATCTAAATGTACAGATATATACAAATGTCAAATTAATGATTTCCTTTTCATTTATTTTTCTATTATTTCATATTTATGAACTTTGACATTAATTTTTTTAAAATTATTACTATTATTATTATTATTATTATTTAAAACAATTAGTCCCTTTGATAAATTTCGATAATGATATTACAAGACGAAGATTATCAGAACTATGTGATATATTAGCGCAATACATTTCGAACAATCTGGTCACACATATACTTGTTAAGAGCATTTATATGTAAAAATAAAAGGTCAACTAGACAGGAAACGGGGTAAGAGGAGATAAGGATAATGATAAGAGTAATAATAATAATAATGTGAACACAATTTGAAACCTAATCACTCTGGATAATAAGTCAATATTACCAGGGTAGGTTTAAGGTAAGAACAAACTGTTTTTGAACACACAAAGGGGGTTTGAATTTTCGTATGGCTAAGGCTTCAATAAACCTTAGTATACGCCCTTTTACACTTTTATACAGCACTACAAAAGCTGAATTTAGATCAATCTTGTGACCTGTTTCAATTATATGTTTAGCAATAGAGGATGATGGATGTTTATCCTCTGCTCTTATCGGGTCACTTGATTGTATTTGTTTCTGAAGCCATTTGGGTACATGTTCACTCACCCTAATGTTGAGATCACGATTACTCCTCCCTATGTATGTGTGACCACACACACATTTAAATTGGTAAACACAGTGGGATGTGACGCAATCGTTTCCATGTACTTTAGGTTTTGAATGAAGCATGCACCTTGTTCTTTCTTTGATGATGACCTTTGCTGCGCAATAGGTTTTATTGATGACTGATTTAAGTCGTTGTTTCAGTAAAAGGCTATTTGAATCACCTCTGAATGGTAAGGTGATGTAGACAGGCTTTTTCTCTACCGAGGCTACAGTAGGTCTCGCTGAACCATGGACTTTCCATCTATTTATGAATTTCAGAGGATAGCCATTTTCTATTAACGTTTTATTTAACAACTTAACATCATCATCAATGGCGTCATTGGTACAAATACGGTCGAGTCTGTTGAAAAGACACCTTATCAAACCACGTTTGTATTGCACAGGGCAATAACTATAATAACTAAGATATTGACCTGTCCACGTTGGTTTTCTAAAAATAGATCGCTTTACTGAACCATCTTCTCGTCTACTCAGGAGTATATCTAGGAAGGGAAGCTGATCGTTTTTCTCCTCTTCACATGAGAGACTAATATGGTTTTGGAGAGTGTTGAGTTTATTTAATAAACCGTACATATCCTCTTTTTTCTCACAAACAACTAAGATATCGTCCACATATCTCTTATAAAGTGACATGTTTCCGATTAATTCATCAGTCTGATTTTCAACATGTGCCATGAACACATCTGCTAGTAATGGTCCTAGCGGACTACCCATAGCAACTCCATCAATCTGACGAAAGTATTCACCTTCAAAAGTGAACTGAACTTTGTCAGTACATAGTAATAGTAAATCTTTAAGAAGTTTTACAGGTACACGTGATTGAAAATTGTTTTCAGATATGTAATCACATAATATATCAATGGTTTTTTTAAAGGTACATTTGTAAACAAGGAATTTACATCAAATGAACACATTGTCTTTTCCTTGATATTAATATCATCTAAATGATCAACCAGTTCAAAAGAATCCTTTAGAGAATACTTACATAGATGTCTTCGAATAGGATCCAACAACTTTGCTAACCATTTAGCCAGATTATGTGTAGGTGATCTGCACATTGATAGAATTGGACGTAAAGGAACATTAGGTTTGTGAATTTTAGGCAGTCCATATAAATGAGGGTACTCGGAACCCATAGGTTTTAGAAAGTTAAATTCCTCTTTATTAATAATATTCATGAGAAGCAATTTTTCTAGGTTTGAATTTACTCTTCTTTCTAGTTTGCTGATACCTCCAAATTCAACATCAGGCATAAATTTACTGTCATCACTAAGGATAGATAACATCTTACTTTTATATTCACATTTATTCATGATAACTACGCCTGATCCTTTATCAGGTTTTAACAAGACAATATCAGAGTTTGATCGTAGTTCTTTTAATGATTTAAAATGCTGAGAAGTTAATATGCTTCTCTGCTTCGGGCCAACACTATGAAATTGGTGTGCTATATCCACTAGTTTAGCTTTACACCAGCTTTGATTATTTGAAGACGTAGGGGTTAGAGTACTCAGTTGATCATATAGATTTTCAAACTGGGCATTTATTTCCAATTCAGACATTTGCGTTATAGGGACGGAGAAATTAAAACCAAGAGAAAGGGCTTCCTTTTCATTAGCAGATAATACAATGGAGGATAAATTAGTGACATACTTTTCAGGATTTACTGGGAATAAATTAACTTGATTAGTAATAATACAAGATTTTTCGAGCTTATTACTGATCCTTTCCTTTGTTTTCGAAATGACATTACTGCAAAAGTTGGTGAATTTAATATGGCAGACTATAGATATTTCATTTAATATAGGCAATGCTTGAGTGTGTAATTCAATTAAATTGATCAGTTTGTCTTGGCACTTATCTATATATGATTTCGACAATCGAATAAGATTTGAAATATTTGGTTGTAATTTACTTGAACGTAAATTCTTGTATAGTTGATTTGGGAATATGTGACTCGTCAAACAAGATTTATAGAAGTTCAGTTTCACGCGTTCCGATACAATTTTACATTTAAGGTTGACAAGTTCATCTAACCTTTTGATAGTATGTGCAGGGAGTCTTCTTTTAAGAAATTTAAAACAATTAGTCCCTTTGATAAATTTCGATAATGATATTAGAAGACGAAGATTATCAGAACTATGTGATATATTAGCGCAATACATTTCGAACAATCTGGTCACACATATACTTGTTAAGAGCATTTATATGTAAAAATAAAAGGTCAACTAGACAGGAAACGGGGTAAGAGGAGATAAGGATAATGATAAGAGTAATAATAATAATAATGTGAACACAATTTGAAACCTAATCACTCTGGATAATAAGTCAATATTACCAGGGTAGGTTTAAGGTAAGAACAAACTGTTTTTGAACACACAAAGGGGGTTTGAATTTTCGTATGGCTAAGGCTTCAATAAACCTTAGTATACGCCCTTTTACACTTTTATACAGCACTACAAAAGCTGAATTTAGATCAATCTTGTGACCTGTTTCAATTATATGTTTAGCAATAGAGGATGACGGATGTTTATCCTCTGCTCTTATCGGGTCACTTGATTGTATTTGTTTCTGAAGCCATTTGGGTACATGTTCACTCACCCTAATGTTGAGATCACGATTGCTCCTCCCTATGTATGTGTGACCACACACACATTTAAATTGGTAAACACAGTGGGATGTGACGCAATCGTTTCCATGTACTTTAGGTTTTGAATGAAGCATGCACCTTGTTCTTTCTTTGATGATGACCTTTGCTGCGCAATAGGTTTTATTGATGACTGATTTAAGTCGTTGTTTCAGTAAAAGGCTATTTGAATCACCTCTGAATGGTAAGGTGATGTAGACAGGCTTTTTCTCTACCGAGGCTACAGTAGGTCTCGCTGAACCATGGACTTTCCATCTATTTATGAATTTCAGAGGATAGCCATTTTCTATTAACGTTTTATTTAACAACTTAACATCATCATCAATGGCGTCATTGGTACAAATACGGTCGAGTCTGTTGAAAAGACACCTTATCAAACCACGTTTGTATTGCACAGGGCAATAACTATAATAACTAAGATATTGACCTGTCCACGTTGGTTTTCTAAAAATAGATCGCTTTACTGAACCATCTTCTCGTCTACTCAGGAGTATATCTAGGAAGGGAAGCTGATCGTTTTTCTCCTCTTCACATGAGAGACTAATATGGTTTTGGAGAGTGTTGAGTTTATTTAATAAACCGTACATATCCTCTTTTTTCTCACAAACAACTAAGATATCGTCCACATATCTCTTATAAAGTGACATGTTTCCGATTAATTCATCAGTCTGATTTTCAACATGTGCCATGAACACATCTGCTAGTAATGGTCCTAGCGGACTACCCATAGCAACTCCATCAATCTGACGAAAGTATTCACCTTCAAAAGTGAACTGAACTTTGTCAGTACATAGTAATAGTAAATCTTTAAGAAGTTTTACAGGTACACGTGATTGAAAATTGTTTTCAGATATGTAATCACATAATATATCAATGGTTTTTTTAAAGGTACATTTGTAAACAAGGAATTTACATCAAATGAACACATTGTCTTTTCCTTGATATTAATATCATCTAACTGATCAACCAGTTCAAAAGAATCCTTTAGAGAATACTTACATAGATGTCTTCGAAAAGGATCCAACAACTTTGCTAACCATTTAGCCAGATTATGAGTAGGTGATCTGCACATTGATAGAATTGGACGTAAAGGAACATTAGGTTTGTGAATTTTAGGCAGTCCATATAAATGAGGGTACTCGGAACCCATAGGTTTTAGAAAGTTAAATTCCTCTTTATTAATAATATTCATGAGAAGCAATTTTTCTAGATTTGAATTTACTCTTCTTTCTAGTTTGCTGATACCTCCAAATTCAACATCAGGCATAAATTTACTGTCATCACTAAGGATAGATAACATCTTACTTTTATATTCACATTTATTCATGATAACTACGCCTGATCCTTTATCAGGTTTTAACAAGACAATATCAGAGTTTGATCGTAGTTCTTTCAATGATTTAAAATGCTGAGAAGTTAATATGCTTCTCTGCTTCGGGCCAACACTATGAAATTGGTGTGCTATATCCACTAGTTTAGCTTTACACCAGCTTTGATTATTTGAAGACGTAGGGGTTAGAGTACTCAGTTGATCATATAGATTTTCAAACTGGGCATTTATTTCCAATTCAGACATTTGCGTTATAGGGACGGAGAAATTAAAACCAAGAGAAAGGGCTTCCTTTTCATTAGCAGATAATACAATGGAGGATAAATTAGTGACATACTTTTCAGGATTTACTGGGAATAAATTAACCTGATTAGTAATAATACAAGATTTTTCGAGCTTATTACTGATCCTTTCTTTTGTTTTCGAAATGACATTACT